TTCAGCAGGAGAATGGAAGATGGTCAGAGATTAATCCAAATAGTTGGCAGTATTTTATGTTTGTCTCTCAAAATGTTACCCAAATGGAATATTTTAAGTAATATCATAAAAATACAAAAAGCAGAAATCAGTAACTGTTTATTTGATGGCCTGATAAATAGTTCTGATGTGAAAAGCTAATCACAAGTTTCTGTTTCAGATATTGTTCCTAGAGATGCACACCTGAAGGACAAGTTCATTCAGCATTTTGGAGGTAAGAAAACTTCCACTAAAGAAGATTTTTGTGAAAACATTTTGGCCTAGAATCTCTGATACCCTTTGCAGACATTGCGAAACTGTTTTATCTGGGAAACAACTTTAAGAACATATTTGGCACTTTTCCCATGCAACTGTTGGCAGGACTCTCCAAGTTTTGCCCCTCTGAGAAAAAACATGTTCATTCCTGCAAGCCAAGATACAGTATACTGAAGTCATAGACAGCTTTGTGAACGCCGTTCTTTGGGTCAGAACGGGGTCGCATGGCTTAGCTGCAGGGCAGTAGTTTAGAGAAACAGCACATGGTCTGAAGCTGACAGAATTAAGTTGAAGGCATTGCTAAGCTAAGCTGATTATTTGTCTCAGGACCTGTGAGTAGACTTCATTATTGCTATGAAAATCTGGAAGCATAATCGTTGGTGCAGAAACTCTTAGACGTTATTATAACTCACAACTTGACTTTGTTTCAGTCTAAATTGAAAGCTGATCAGTTAATAATAAGTCTACAACTGACAAAGTAAAGCCACTTTGGGGTGCAGTTACTTTTTAGTTAGTTAGTTTTTTTTAAAAACTATAATTCTTACAAATATGTGGTTAATTAAAGTCAAAATTAATATTAAGCGTTTTTATGAGGTGTTGAGTTCTTTACATCATTTGGGTATTAGCAGATCGTGGACGTCTTTGTAAGCCAATGAAAGGAAGGTTAAAAAAAAATCCCTTTTCTACTGATTTTATAAAAATTAAAACCTCCATGATGTATTAATTTAGATTCAAGTTGATTCTTACTGTAGAGCATATAGAATCAATCTGTTAAGTTTATTTGTATAGCACATTTCAGAAGGAAGGCATTTCAAAGTGCTTAATGAAAACATAAAAATATCACAAACACATCATACAGTCACCAATTGTAAAACCAGTAATATTTCATTTGAGTCACATTTAGAGATGTTTAGAGAAATCAAGTGGTAACTAGAATTGGACAACTTTCAGATGGGTCAGATTATTGACCCTGACCTGTGACGGCTGATTGGAAACTCCAAATGTTTATATTTCTCCCGTCAGTAAAGCACACTAATTCAGCATTCGTTTTATACTCAGAATATAGATTTTATCAATGTTTAGCAATTGCAAAGACTTACAATAAAGCCCTCTGAAGTCTGTATTCTGGCTGGGAAAGCTGAGTAGCCATTAGTTTAGTATACCGCTGCAATTCACTTAGAATACAGTGAAAAGTTGCCAGTGTAGTACTTATAGTACTAATAAAAATACTAGCACACAACGAGCTGTAAAAGGCCTCTCAAAATCTAGTCCTCATGTACCTGCCTACTGCAAAGTCTATCTGTTTTCACCTAGAAGAAAACTTCTTCTAAGTGCTTTCACCTTCACTTCTAGGTAAAAACACCTAGAAGAACACCTGAAACCAACGTCTGAATTAGCAGATGAAAACTTCACCAACCCCAGAGTTTTGGAATCAGGCATAAAATTCAAATCAGTCTTGCTAAAGAGTGACCCTTCTGCACTCTGGAGAAATTTATTTTAATCTTGAAGCAGGAAACTCCCTTAAAGCTAGAGATATTTAATCATTAGACAGAAATGATCTCAGTATAAATTGACATGATTTATGAAAAGCACTCCCATTTTCAACAAAAGCACAGCATCAGGTCATGTATTTTTCTTAAAAAATGTTATATTAAGATAATTTCTTTTCATTTTACCTAATGTGACCTTCTCTTTTCTCAAGCAGGACATGTCAAGTTCTCGTCGGAGTGCAAAACACACTTTCACAGACTATACCACACCACAAGGGATTGCTCAAGACCAGCATGTGTGTATGCTTTTTCATTCAACAGACAACTAATTTTTATCAGTTTTCTTTGTTCCTCTTTCTCTATTTTTTATCTTAAAATATTATCCATTTCATAATGGCTGAGAAAACATGTGTGTTTAATATTAATATGACTGACATTTTATGTGAGCAAACTGTTTTTGTTGGCAGAAAGTTTAAAGTTATTTCAACATAGAGATCTTTTGGTTTCTGCGTGGGTCACTAAGCATCTTCTTAGAATATATTAAATCAACTTTGGTTAGTGTTTTTCAGATCAGATAAAAAATGTTGTTGATTAGGGCTGCATCATATTAAAAGCAGACATGTAATGTCGATATTATTAGTCAAAACTGTGAGGATGATATCAGTCATGACAAACAAGTTTTTTTTGGTTTTTTTTTCACTTTTCAACCGTGATTCTAACTCTCTTCTGTGGTCACAAGCATCTTGGGCCCATTAACACGGCACCCAAGCACAGTATTAACGGGCCCATTAATACAGTATTAAGTAGTACTGTAAGTCAGATCAATAAGTTTCACCTTTTCAAGAAAAAAAAAAAAAACTAAAAAAAAACTGAAAGCTGAATATCTTATTAGTTTGCAAATTGTCTTTTTTTTTTGTCCTAAGTCCTTCAAATCATCAAACTAATTTCTTCAGCAGACAGAAATAGCCAGAAACAATTTTCAAATGATATTTCATTTAATCAAGGGAAAAAAGTAATCCAAACCAATCGACCCCGATACGACAAAATAATTCCCTCCGATTCTACTAACTGGCTGTGCCACATTTAGATGTGTTTTGCCTCAGAGTGGAGGAACTTTGGATCACTTGTCTTGGTAGAATTGTTTTGACTAATGGAGAGTTCGCTCTCATGCTTCTGTTTACGAGGCATGATCCAGATTTAAATCTGAACTTTGATCAGACTTCTTCCTAGACTTTATTTTTTTTGAATTATTCAAAGGCAGACATAGTGCCCTGCTTTGGATTGTCCTGCTGCGTAAAATAGGCATGACGGGAAAAATTGATGGTGTGGCCAGTTTAACTGTAATTAAATAATTAAACTGCAATTAATTGTAAATAATTAATGTAGCTAATCACAACCATTCTCCATTTAAAAAATGAGGCATGTGTATTTCAAATACACCAGGATGATTAAGATAGCATTTTCCCCTTAATAAATTAATCATCTGTTATGATCTCCTTTTTGTATTTAATCAGGTAATCTTTGTCTGAAATTTATAATCTGAATCATTTTAGTTTTACCAAAAAGCAAACACAGAAGAAACGTCGTAGGCCAATGAATTAACAACCATTATGAATATTTTGAACAAAGCAACTTATTTCTAAGATGTCATGATGCTCCGTGGAGGCATCCAATCTGTTTTTTTCACTGAACAGCCACATGAGAAGTAATGCGCCAAACAATCTGTTTTTTCTTGTTAGAACAATGATATAGAACAAAATTTACATGGTCCGAACCATTTGGATGTTTTATGTCCAAATTATTAAAACTTTGCTTTGTTTAATCTGCTGATTATATGTCAGAAACTTTGGCTCTTTTATGTTAAAGGGGAGCAATCATTCTTGGTACTGATGCAGTTTAAAGAAATAACAAAAATCAAGAGGTAAGATAGAGATATGAAAAAAATATTTGTGTTACTGTACATATATATATATATATATATATGTATATATATACTAAATACTAGAAATTTACACAATCGGTCACAACTCTGAGCAGAATTAAATGTAGAAAAAGAACACATGGGTTTTGCCTTCATAATGGAATAATGGAATGTTTTCCAAAAATTTCAGCAAGTCCTTTAGCATCAAAAGTACCTTCATATATGTCCAAGTCATCCCACCCATGGGCACTGTTGTTGCACTACTACAGCTGTTGGCTTTTGCAACTAATAAAAGTCTAAAGGGTCTTTTTAATCTCTGTTAAATCGAAGAGGACGGGGGGGTTGTGTGTGTGTGTTTTCTTTAAAGCCGACTGAGACATGAGGTCATCTAACAAGAAAACACATGTTTATAATCCATCTGTCCAGCTGAGATGAGCTTTTGTCCATAGAACTTTGCAAGATTTCAAACTCAGCTTTCAATTCTGCCTGTGGTTCTTTTGGTTGTGAATTGGGATAAGTAGCAATAATAAGGCTAATATTATTCACTTTGGCATAATCAGTTTACATGCAGTGGCATACTGATGGTCATCACTGTTTAATAGTGGTTCCCATCCTTGCCTTGCATGAGCTAAGACTATGTCACTGTAAAATACAAAGCAATTGTTCAAAAAATAATTTTTGTAAATAAAAAAAAAAAAAAAGAAAATCCTTCAAATCCGTGAGGCGCATCATTGCTTAGAAAGACAAAGCCGTGGGTGCTTTTTATAATCAAACCTGAGTCTCACAATTTTTTAAAACTGATACAAATAGAAAGAAATACCCAAAAAATAGATTACAAGATGTGAACAATTTTTGAAATTACTAGTGCAATATGTCAAATCACAAACATCATTGCGAAATCAATGTTTGCAATTTTACAATCTCAAAAGTTTGGATGCATTACTTTGCTGAATACAAAATTTAAAATACCTACAACACACCTACAACTTGTTAGTAATATGTTTACGTGTAAAGCAGACTTTGACCGCCCTCGCTGTGCATACTTGACGCATATCTTTAGTGGTCGAGGTATTAAAGCTAACTAGGAGTGATGGATACCTTCTGATTTAAAAATAAATCTGTTAATTCAAAATGTCCGTATCTACTTAGAAATTTAGTTACAACAAAACAAAAATTATTAGACAATTTAAAATGCAGATGCAAAACAGAGTAAAAAACAACACTGATCTGATATTGTTATCAGAGTATTCAGCATTGCAGTCACATTGTGCAAAATTTAAATTGTTTTGCATTTCAGCAATAAAATGCAATAAAATGTAACTGTAGGAAATGTGACTGGTTTTATAACTTCTTATTAGTAAATAAATAGATAAATCAGAGAAAACATTTCCAACTCAGTGTTTGTTGCTCCTCTCTCTGAGATATTTGCAGTTTTCAAAATTATGGAGTAAATAGTAGTGAAAGCAGATATGTTCAGACATGACTCTTATTAGTTCTCAATATTTGTTGAAGTAAAGCTGCTGCTATCCTGAAAAGGAGCTAATTCTTTTAATTTTAGTAATTGATTAGGTCATGTGAAACTGCTAACAGTCTTTTTTTCTTACCGTTTCTTTCTTTTAGATTACAAAAGGTGTGCAAGATTGCTAACGCGATTAGCAATGAGTCCGCTCTGCATGCAGTCATAGGTTTTGTATGTGAGTATTTGTTTTTTCTTCTCAAGTTACTCTTGGTGTTTTATATCCCTCGCCAAAACAGAAATGATTAACATAGACATGCAGATGTATACTTTGTGCTGAAGAGACTCAATCTCTGACAGAGAGTAAATCTGTCAAATGTTCATCTGAGGAAGACCGATCCTTCCTATAATCAGAAACATATCTCTTTTACATCTGTCCAACATTTAGATGTTGTATAGAATGTGATCTATCCTTGATCTCTGAAATGTTTTCATGCCAGAACAAAATCTTCTCATACCATAACTTCAACATTTCCTTTCAGACACTTCTAAATTAGTTAAACTTGGACTTAAACTCTTAGAGGAAAACAGACATGCACATTGGGATGATTTTGAGTAACGATAAAGGAAAATTGAAATCCTCAGATGTGTTTAAATTTTTTTTAAAAACCTCACAAATAAAAGTCTTTCAAAATTATGGACAATATTCTTTCTCTGAAATTTAAAAGACTCGTTCCTACTGACCACAAACACTTGTTGGCATATCCCACTGCCCCAGGGGGGCAAAGGTAGTTCATACATTTTGCAAGCATTTACTTTCTCACAATTGCAACTGGTAGACATAGATTTTTTTTTGCCTAATAAATGAAATCACTTGAGAAATTGATTTCTCAAGGTTATTGCTGTCTGATATTAAAATGTACTTAACGGTCTGACGTGTTTAAGTGTGCCAAACATTAAAAACGGTATCACTCCTCTACATTTTTCCCATAACTGGAATAAAGAATTCATTTAATTTAATCATATGAGCAACTTTAGATAATGCCAAGCATGATCAGATGTTTTCAGAAGCACACGACTACATCCCTGAAGTCAAGGAAGGTCCCTGAATGTTGTCAGTGAAATAATTCTGGATGTATGCTCATCCCTCTTTTTAAGGCGATCCGTAAAAACTCCTCTTTCTCTGCTGCCTTGATGGCTTTAAACCTAACATAGGTAAAAGCAGGGTTCACACTGGATGCAATTATGTCCAGACTGATGAGTGATTGCCACACACAAGCTCATCTCCCTAAGTAGTCATTCATGGTCATTGGGTTTAGCTGGTAATAATGTAATTGAAGAGACTGACACATCCTCAGGAATCAGATAATAGGATCCTGTCTGCGTTGTTCTGAGAGCTCACATGTGTGTCACGATTGACGAACATCAGAAGACGTATGAAATGAGTCATGATTCGGCAATTCTGGTCATTTCTCAGTGACCTTCGGCAGCAGTAATAATCCCTCTTTAGAAGCTGACAACATGACTTCCTTAGAAAGATGTGAAGATGTGATAAAATCTCCAAATCCAGCATTGAGCCACGGGATTTTGATAAAAAAAAAAAATAAATAAAAAAAAAACTTTAAAAAGTGTAGAAACTGCCAATATTTAACTATGCATTTTTGTGTTGCGATTTAAATTCCAGGTCGCCATATAACGGAAGAGGGATCAATGCGTTGCCAAGGAAGTGCCTTCAAACCCACAGCAGACATGAGGACGTTCTTTCTGTGTGTGTTTATAGTGTCTATGTTTTTGCTGTTGGTGTTGTCATAACTCAAAATGATTGAATGGAGATTGTTGGTTGTTTGTGAGTGGAATGGACCATATATTTGTAAGCAAATAATTTAATATCAAATACATCTATTTATTGAAAGGACATATAAATATATGTAATGTTTAACAGTCACTGAGAATCCGATCATTTTGGTTATAAAAGTCATGAGTGATGGAAAGAAAATGTATTTGCTTTATTTTCTATATAAATTCCACTTTTGCTAATTTGCTGACTTTATACTCCATCTTTGTCTTCATCACATTTTATTTGGCACTTGAGTGATTGTTGACAATAAGACCATATAAAATAACGATAATGGTGACAGCTCACTGCATTACTGAATAAAGAATACTGAAGCACAGGAGGTTTTGCATTTTCTTTACATTTTTTTTTTTTTTTAATTCATGCCAAAAGTGGAGTCAGGCAGTGCAATGGGTGAGGCCGCGAACGGAGCCCACGGGAGTGGACGGTTCGTTCTTGGCACAGCATGTGATGCGTTTATCTCCGTACACTTCACTTTTAACAGAAAAAAGCTGTCTTCTCCTCGTCTGAATTTGTAAGCAGTCGGGAAAGAAGCTGGGTTTCATCACAACCGTGTTGCTATGGGACTGCTTTTTTGGGTCAAATGCTTGTTTTGCACTTTTCAGCACCTTTTTCAGACGCTGCTGTCCCTGCCACTCAGAGCAGGTGCTATAATCACTGAGTCCACCCACTCACCTCCCTTTTTTTCTTGGAGGTCACTGCAGATCGTCTGGTAGACTCTCGCATTTGCAGTCACTCACTTAATCAAGGCTATCAGATGCCTTGGAACGAACAGGAGGTTGAGCAATCCTTGCTCAGCCAAAAAAATAAACATACAGTAGATAAAACCATACAAAAAAAACCCTCCCACAAGAAAGCACAAGTTTAATGCTTGAAAACATCTGTTTGGTTCAAGGAAAGCGCTTGTGAGAAAACTCAAACGCAGAGAAGGGAACTGACTGATCTGTATCATCAAAAAGCAAAGTGTTTCTGGTGCTTGAACTTCTGAACACTTGTCACATGAGAGTGAAATCTGAACCACTTCTCACATTGTGTTCCAGTTTACTTGTTCTTAGGCCAGATAAGGTTTATTTTCTCATGTGTGTTTTCTTTATCGCTCCACAATTAGAAGATACCAAACACTGCACATATGATATTAAGGAAATCAAGACAAACACAGTTGGCTTAGAATAAAAGCTCCCTTGTAATGAAATTCAAATTGACCATTTTAATTTTCTATAGCGTTTGGATAACTTTACTCTAACAAAGTGCTATAACGTCCCCTGGAACCGCAGAAGTGGGAGATTTCTGGTCTGGAGAATATTGACAGTGATTGTTTTTTGTTTAAGTAGTGATACAAACACTGAGTCAGGCACACACTCGTACACACGCACACACAAGGGGGGTTGCTGATGGATAAGGTTCTGAGCAAACACAAACTACAAGCCAAAGATTACAACAGCTCAGTTCTCACGTCAGCTTGTCTCCACAGACTGAGCGGGAACCTTTTCTTTCACAGCCTCATGCATTATTCACTAATAGTTTGGCTTTTTGCGCCATCATTATAAACTCATCCGTGGAAAAAAGTTGAGTTGCTGAGGAGCATGTTTAATGGTGTGTACAGATACCGTCGCTGGGACTGGGATCTCAATCTAGGCAATGTTTCCAACTTGATATGAGGTTTGTCTCGCAGGGCTATAAACCATGTGATAGCCTCTGCTCCACAAATCACAGCCTCCTTACGAATGGAGGAGTTCAGCTTTGAAATTTATGCTTCACCCAACCTCTGTGTACTTGTCAAACTTGCACACATAAATCCACCCTGAGCAACATGTGGCGAAATATGCGGTGATTACCTGAGCCAATTAAGGAAACGGCTGAAGCTATAAAAGGATTAAGCTGCTAAAAATACAGCTTGCACCTCGAGGGGACGCACAGGGGATCCCTTTCCCTCCGGGTGGGCAGGACAGGGACACTGGATCCTAATCTGAGGAGGATATCACTTATCTGGAGACAAACAGCACAGATTAGGAGAGGAGACAGAAGATGCACTGGGGATAGCATGTGGGAGGGCTTTAACACAATTACACACAAGCATCAAATCCCCTCTCTGGTACCTTTGAGAAATTTGGTGTAATAAATAGTAAACAGAGACCAAAGCCATGCCATTTCCTCCCTGTCAGACTGCATCCGGCCTTGCCAAAGCCCAGGGGTGAAGAGAGGAAACACCTTAATGTCGTCACCTTCTGCTCCAGTGTTATGGCCAACAGCTCCTTAAGCATTTTCATATTTCCAAACCACAAACTTCAGTATGCTTTGGGGAACTTTTTGTGGTAGACCAAGACAAAGTAGTGCACAACTGCACATTTTTATTAAGCCTCTTGTAATTTGATATGTCTAAATAACATCCATTACAAACAATTCCCACTTGTGAAATATTTAATCTTAGAGGTTTCCGTGACAACGCCAAGTTTAATGATCAGAAGCATGAAGACCAAAGGAACAGAGCAGACGGGTCAAGGGTAAAGTAATCGAGGAATTGAAGGCAGGATTAAGCTACTATGAAATATCCCGTTTAAATATTTCATAAACTCTTATTTAATTCTAGACCAAAATACAATTGAGAACCTTAGATAATACTTGAAAATTGACATTCAAATATGTTCTCCATCCATTCTGACTGGGTTTGACCCATTTTCTTTCTTTTTTTTTTTTAAAGAAAAATAAGAAAATGATTCAGTTTGTAGATAATAAAAGCTGCTGGACATATTCCAAAAGATTTACACTGTTATTCTAACAATAGTGTCTTCACAGTTCTGTCCGAAATGTAAAGCAGCTGCAGCTGATTCAGAACCCTGGTGCTCATGATCTCACTAAAACTAGGAAAACAGACCCTCGGGTTAAAAGTTCTTACACTGGCTCCCTGTAGCTCAGATAATATACTTTAAAATACTTTTGTTAGTTTATAAATAACTGGCTGGCTTTGCACCAGAATACATTAAAGATCTGATATTGTGTCAACCTTCGAGACCACTCAGGTCTTCTGGTTCAACTTAGGTCAAACATGGAGAGAAGCAGGATTCAGTTTGACTAAACACTGTTCAATTGTTTTATTCGTAAGAAAGTATGTTTTCAAAAAGCATGTCATTTTACTTCAACTCTAATTTTTGCACAACTTGGTTTCAATCTATCACATAAAGTAAAATACTTTGAAAGTTGTGGTTTAAAGTTCAAAAACCGTTAATACTTCAGCAGAACGCTGTGCTTTAATTTTAAAAGACATTGTCATAAGTCTTTATAGTGAATTTGAACATCTGGTGCCATTCCTTCATTGCTGCTAACGCCTCACTAAGGGCAATTCATTGGCCTGATTTTTGTCTTTAACCCTGCAAACATAATAACATGCTTGTCGAACAGATTTCATGCTGACACACATGGCATGGTTACTTATGACGTATATCAAACCACCTCTCCCCTCATGCGCAGAAGAATTTTGTGACAAAAGTGCACACGATAATCCAATTTTGGAGACCCTTAAGGCTTTATTCAGGCAAAGCATCATATTTATAGTGCATGCAGTAGCCACAGTGGCTGTAAAACTGTCAGAGGGTGAATAGATTTACGCCATGTCTCATGATTAATTCATTTCTCTTCTTATATCTTTTGGGGAATGCACAAATCCCACATGAGTCACCAATAATATACATTCAAACAAGGCCCCAATTAAGGATTTGACAAATGAAAGATGAATAAGCTGTCATCATCACAGTGAAATCTTCCCCAACAGTTTCATTGTGCCAAAGGGGAAATGTTGACAGTAAATGAAACAGGTTCTGTTTGGTGAAAATGTGTTGATGCACATTTTGACCCAAACCACAGCTGATCAGTGATTTGGTCTGTGGTGTGCAGCGGTTTGACGAGGAGGGAGCTGCTTGTTCTGCCAGCTGAAGGGTCTTTGATCCCCCTGTGCTTGAGGTGTTGGCAATAAGTCTCTGCCACCCCCTCTGCATGTCCCGCACTGAGAGCGCTGCGATGCCTTTCAATTTGAAGAAAAACCAAAATAAATTACTGGAAGACATCTTTCTCTTCGATCCTTGTTATCCCAACCTGATGAAATCATGTGATCTCAGTTTATTGTACTGAAAGAAAAAGCTTGAAGCTCATGATTCAAATGAGCAAACAAACAAAAAAAAAAAACTTAAGACAATAAATATGTTGTATTACAAACAGTGATATGTTTGATTATTTCTGCTTTAAATGTCAAGGTTAACAAGTCTTAATGCAAATGTTAGTTTGAGCTGAACTGTGAAGCCAGATGATCAGTGATAAATACTTTACACCGAATGTCCTCATCAGTTTGATTCCAGTGATAAAATTAGATACATTAATTTAAATACACTAATTAAACAACTGAGAAAAAATGGCTATTTTTCCATCAGATTCTCAGTCTAGTAACAGGTTAAAGCAAGGACGCCGTTTGCTGATTGGATATGATGCACGCAACTTTCAAAGAAAACAAAATGACGATGTTCGTTATTGTGGTAAAAAATAAAATAAAATAAAAAATTTCCGTTTAAATGTGACTAAAAAAACTAAATGTCCAAAATTATTTATACCCCTCTCACTAATAAAAGTGACACGACTACATACGAGCTAATGACTTTCCACTGATATTCTTTAAGGTTGAGAGGCCTCCGTCTAATCAGTCTCAAACTTTGAAACTTTAATCAAATTGAGCCACTTCATTTTTTTTTTTTTTGCCTCAACAAGATTTGCAAAGGACATGTAGGCTTTTCAGTCAAGACCCACAGAATCCAGCACTATGCAAAGATCTTCAAGATTTTACATCCAGAATTGCCCACATTCTTATACGTAGATGGCGTTAGTGATCTTTGCTTTTGTTTTGTTTTGTTTTTTTTTTTAAAAAAACCTGTTATTACACTAATCTTGCAAGAGAAGGTGCCACTTTTGACTACCACAATCTGTTTCCAGTGTGCAATTATTTATGGTTTTTAATACTTTATATGAATACCACTGTAACTTTGTGACATCTAGACATTTTCATCTGTTTACTCAAAGAAAACATTTGTTCACAATTAATCTGTCCAATTAAGATGTTTTAGAAAAACATGGGGTATTTGGGTGCAGAGGCTTAAATATTCCCATAATCCCACAATCCAATAAATCAATGGGTATGAACAATTTTAGACAACCTCTTGCAAACATATCCACTCCATTACTTTAAATCTAAATCTGGCAAGTGGGTATGATTGATTTTGGGCAAAAATGTAAAAACCTCTGTAAGAGAAAAATAAGAAATACATTTGTTAATTAAACAAAGGA